TCGTTCGTAGTGGCTCGTCGTTGACTATTGTGTGCTGTTTTCTGGTGGCCTTCGTTCATTGGTTGTTAGGGTAAGTATCTGCAATTGGCTTTGCCGTCTCGTGTTTTTTCTGTATAACGGAGTTGTACTCATTCACTCTCAACATCGTGTGTGTGTGGGTGGTCGTGTGTGTGTGTGTGGTGTGGTGTGTGTGTGGTGTGTGTTGTGTGTGTGGTTTGTTTGTTTGTTTTGTGTGTGTGTGTGTGTGTGCGGTGTGTGTGTGTGGCTGTGTGTGTGTGTCGTGGTGTGAGTCGTGTGGTGTGTGTGTGTGTGGGTTGTGTGTGTGTGTGTGTAGTTGTGGTGTGATCGTTGTGTGTGGTGTGTGTGTGTGTGTGTGTGTTGTTGTGGATGTGGTGTGTGGGGTGGTGTGGATGTGGTGTGGGTGTGTGTGTGTGTGTAGTGTGTGTGTTGTGTGTGTCGATGTGTGTTGTGTGGTGTGTGTGTGTGTGGGTGCTGTGTAGTGCTGTCTGTCACCGTGTGTGTGCGTGATGCCGATGTGTGATGTGTTCTGTCAACAGCTGTTGTGACGATGTGCGTGTGCGTGCTGTCTGTCTGTCTCTCTCTGTGTGTCTGAGTGTGTGCGTGTGCGTGCGTGCGGGTATGTTGTGTGGGGGGGGGGCGTTTGCCACACACACACACACACACACACACACACACACACACACACACACACACACACACACACACACACACACACACACACACACACACACACACACACACACACACACACACACACACACACACACACACACATGCATATGCACACACGCACACACTCATACAGGGCATGCACGCGCGCACACATCGTATGTTCCATTTATAACACTAACCTCCCATATTTACCATTTAAATTTCGACAATCGCCCTCTTTTATTCAATGTTAGAAATATATATTGTATATTAATCGATCCCCGTGGGACACATAATTTATATCATGTTTGCGCTCCATTGGAGGATAATAATGCTTATTGCAGACGGACAGGCGCAGCTTCTTCCCACACCACGCGCTGATGCCAACTACTGCTGCTCAAATGAAGTGGTTCAGAGTAGACGCACACTTACGGACAACAAACGAGCCCCCTCCCATGGGGTTTTGGGAAACAAGGGAGCAGGAGCATTAACTTTCAGGGAACATGGGATATTGTCGAGTTATTTTAAGGGAACAAGGGAACTGCTGATTCGATTTTTGGGAACAATGGAACTCTGATTTTCCATCTTTGTGATTTTTTTCCGTTTTCTCAGACTTTTTACAATAAACTTTAAAGTATTTCAAGGTCATTTCAACATAGTGGGCTGTAGGGGACCCTTAAGGTCCACAGTTATAGGTCCTTTTTCACTCCAGCGTAACGAGACAATTATGTGGAACAGTGGTAAATATTTTTGGGAATTAAGGGAACTGGAAAATAATTTTCGGGATCGTGAGAACACAAGGTAAAAACTTTTTAGGGAACAAGTTATTTTATTAATGGGCAACAAGGGAGAAAATGCACGAACATTAAGGGATCAAGTAAACATGTACCCCCTCCATGGGAGGGGCTCACAAATTATTAAAAATTGCCCGCCATCTTGTAGCTAGCGCCGCGGTACCACCAGTACCTCTGACATTGCGCATGCGTGTGAGGACGCGGCACACGATTCATATTATGTGTTACACATATTGGGAAATTAATACGCCATCTTATTCAGCTATTACATTCCGTTTTTACTATCCAAATATCCAAAGCAGGGATCGAGTCAGTCAGTGTATAGGTATCACAACATGAATTACAGGGGCTTTTGACGAATTTACTGAATATTATAAACTAGGGGGGACACGTGTTATGAAACAAACATACTGTGCCCAGTAATACAAGGAATGACACACACACACACACACACACACACACACACACACACACGGCGCCGCAGCGTTACCACAGTACTCTGACATTGCGCATGCGTTGTGACGCGGCACACGATTATATTATGTGTTACAACATATTGGAAATAATACGCTCATTTATTCAGTATTACATTCCGTTTTTTATATCCAAATATCCAAAGCAGGGAATCGAGTCAGTCAGTGTATAGGTATCACAACATGAATTACAGGGCTTTTTGACGAATTTACTGAATATATAAATAGGCAGGATACGTGTTATGTAATCAATCTGATGCCAGTATATACGGGAAACACACAGCACACGACACACACAACACACACACACAAACACACACACACACACACACCACACACACACACACACACCACACACACAGCACACACACAACACACACACACACACACACACACACACACACACACACCACACACACAACACACACACACACACCACAACACACACACACACACACCACACGCAACACACACACACACAACAACACACACACACACAGCACACACACACACACCACGCGCGAGGCGCCGCGGCGCACACACCAAACATACGCGACACACACACCCACACAACACACACACAAGACCCACACACACACACATCCACACACACACAAACACGCACACAAACACACAGCACACACACACACACACACACAACAAACACACACGCTCGCGCGGGCGCGCGCGCGCGCACACACACACATACAGCCCAAACTCACACCACACACACACACACACACACACACACACACGCCAAAACACACACACACACGCACACACCACACACACACACCACCACGCACACAACACACAACACACAACACACACACCACAACACACACACCCACAATCCACCACACTACACACACAATACAAACACACACACACACACACCAACACATACACCCACACAACCACACACACACACACCAAACACACACACACACACAAACACACCACACCCAAACACACAAACCACCCACCACCACACACACACACACACACACACACAACACCACAAACACACCGGACACCCCCC